AAGTGTAGAAGTTTTATCAATACTGCCATTATTATCATGCCATTATTATTTTGCTGTACTTGACGAAAAGGTGTTCATGATGGAGGTGTTTATTAGTGATTTTCTTTTTTTCAGACAGAAAGAAAGCAAAGCAATAATACTTACACTAGCACACACTCCTTTGTTCTTGTTGATCCGACACAGGTTGAGCTGCTCATGCGGTCGTGCACAAGCATTGATCCAAGCAAAGCATTCTGCTTTTGATTTTGGAAATCTGTGAATTTTAGTACCACAAATACGATCAGGATATCTGACATCACCAGTACAGATACCCCACTGGCAATGGAGAACCATTCTTTTTCGACTGTCGATGTGAAAACTTTCTGCCGGTCTGCAATGTAGTCTGGTGTTACGTTAGCATGCGTTTACTAATGCATGTACATAAGCTTGTGTTTGTGAGACAGCCACGCACGTGGTAGCCATGCTACTACGTAGAATGGGCATCAGCCAATGAAACTCAGCCCTGGTGGTAAGGTCCATAGAGTGCCTTCCCTGGAAATGTATTTCCATCTTACCGTATTTTTCGAACTATAAGACGCTACTTTTTCCCCGTGCTTTGAACCATGCAGCTTATAACCCTGTGCGACTTATATATGTACGTATCCATTTTTAAATTTATTTTAAAATTTGTAGGTGCAGCTTATAGTAAGGCGTGTATACAGTCCGGAAAGTAGGTATTTTTGTTATTTGACAACTTCTCTCTACAGAGGAAACATTTAGTTAATCCTTCCACGTTGGCAATGAATGCAAATAATTTGGTCCAAGAATTGTAGAATCTCTCCTCAGCTATTTTCCTCTTTTCCCCTTTGGCATCCATGGCCCCACCACACACCCGTCAATTTGTTTGCAACAGCCACCTGTCTGGCACCCCGCCCAACTGAAAGAAACGTGTGCATGTTTGCCATGACGCAAATCTTTGTTGTCGGAAATGTTGAAATTTCGCATTTATTCTACACATTTTTTATAGCATTGGAAAACAGCAAGAATGTTTGTATCATGTTTGTCATCCTACAGAAACTATATCAAAGCAAAAAATATATTTCCCACCTCCATCTTTTTCTATTTTCAAACATTTTTGAAAAAGCTCCAGGGAGCCACTGGGGCAGTGCTAAAGAGAGCCGCGGGTTGCCGACCCCCGAGTTAGATAAATAGACTAAGTGATGTGGTGGTAATTCCAGACTGCGCTCTCTCCTGTAGCTCTGAAATATTTTGTGTTTTATACGCCAAAGACTGCTAGCTTTCGTTACAGAGCTGTGCATCAGTTGATCTGGCTCTTTTTTCAGAAATCCTAATGGCAAGACAATAACTTTTCATGGAGGTAACCTTTTAAATGAAAAAAACCCCCCCAAAAAACTGATAATTCCTTTACAAATATTAATATATTTGTAAATCCTCTTAAATTTTTTCTCTCAAACTTTTTTTTTCCTCTTTGTAAAAACAAACAATCTCCAATGTTTATGGACTCGGGCTATCTTTTGTGATATTAGCATTTATTTGAGCATTTAAGTTTGATACAAAGCAAAAACAACAGAGGGGAGATATATCTCTGTCATATCTTTCTTCTTCCTATTGCTTTCATTTCTAAAGATCTTGGCTCACATTCAAAAGATTTTCAGTTGAAAAGCGTATTGTCTTGTTGGAGTCAAAAAGGAGACGGAGAGAGAAGCATGATAATTCCCCCTCTGGAATCCACACATTGTTTCCCCTTCACTGACGGGGGTTGGATTTTCATTTTTATTTTACACAAAATATCATGAAAGAATATGATAATTACCCTGAAAAAAACACCACATACCCAAACAGAACAAGGAAGGCCAACCAAGCAGTACGCTAATACAGAGTGTCGGGTGTGGGGCTATTTACATACCCTTCCAGAGCGCCTGTCACATTCAATTAATTACTCTGTGGAGGGGTGACAAAAATGATTAAAAATATTTCCACACTTTCTGAGGAGGCAGCAGATGATCCATGAAACAGGTGTGCTGCCTTGGTGGAAGTTAAATATGGGATTTTTTGCTTGCTCCCAAAGGGGATCGGCTCCCTTCTCAACCAGCAAAGAGAGACGATGAAGACACTAGTGGTGTTTCTATTGACACCACTAGTGTCAATCCTGTCAGAGCTCTGGACAGTGTCCTCCAGAGTGTCCTCCAGAGCTCTCACAGCATAACAGTTCATAAAAAGTTGTTGTTGACTCCATAGTTCTTCTGTAAAATCACCAACTACAATTTACCCAAGTAGATTGATCTTGTTGTTCCCACGCCTGAATACAATGCCAACGTCTCCTCTGATTGGCAAATAGATGATGAGAACCAATTGATTTGGTTCCAAAAACGACTGAATTATGACTATATTTCATATAACTGTTTACATCTGTTGCTGCCACGGTTTTTTAATGATTAACTGCATGAACAAGCTTATTCACATGTGATTTTAATTTAATTTCTTATTTAAGGGAGACACAGCAATTGCAAAATTTTGTTTTTTCTATAACATTAGTGGAATATAGACAAAGATTTGTACACATCTTTGTCTATATTCAGATGACAGGACATCTGTAATGGAAACTCAGTTAATGAGGCGGACAGGACGTCTGTGACAAAGCTTTGTTCTACCAGAGGTAGAAGAAGTAGAAGTAATGAAACCTGCCGGGTAATGGCCTGCGTCCCATCATCTGTCCATAGCACTTTTACATGGCGTCTTTTATATGGAGAGCAGCTGATTTAACAGTGTCAGATTGATTAGTGCGTGAAGGAGGACATCATGTAGGAGGAAGAACAGGAATTCATCTCAGTGGAATGGGTTAAACGTTCACACTGTGAGACTGTCCTTCTCTTGTAGCACAAAGGAACGAGAAACTGATCTGTTGGGGTGGAACCAGCCACTGAAATCAAACAATTGGGGATTCTGCGACCTGGTATGGAACTGGGAGTTGGTAAAAGCGAGTCAGACACTCCAGGGGCCTGATGAACACTAAAATCTACATTTGAAGAAGTGCCACGCCTCAGCCGGATTACATCCGACTGCCACTGACATGCCCAGCTCAATCCATTCGTCACAAGTGCTGCTCTCAGCATTGACGTTCTTCAAAATGGTTCCCCCTCTGCTCCCCTCCTCTCAAAGGCTTGTCAAGTTTTGATACCAATGTTTGTCTGTGAAATTTCGTTTTCCTGCTCTGCTGATTGCTCATCTGACAGGAGACAGAATAGGAGACTTCAGTCAATATAACCTGTGAGTCAACACACACACTGTGGTGGTGACTGACAGGACAGCCGAGGTGTGTTCACTGGAAAGCATGATAAAGAAAAACAACAAAGAAGAAGTGGAACTGATATATGGCTAGCCAGGTAAACATTTTGGCATTATTGATTTGGTTCCAAAAACTACAAATCAAGTTCAAATTAAACGCATGTTTTTTTAATTATTTTTCCAAATCTAATTTTTTACAAAGCAAACCCATGCATACTGTGAACCCCAGGATCTAGAGACCACAGCTATCCACTACTAGAGCCCACCACCCCTTACGCCTCTAAAAAATTTAAACACCAAATGCCTCAACATGCATTTGGTGTTTAACACATCTTGAGAACACATCTTGACACTACTTCAAAAACTAAGATCAGCAGGCATCCATCCTCAGCCCAGGGTATACTAAATAGTCCAAGAGCTCCATGCTCTGCTCCTGACCTGGAGCAGAGATCAGTCACCACCAGTTCAAAGGTTTTCACCTGGCTTGGCTGTTGGAGGGAAAATACTCCCCCTGGTTCTGAGCTTGACTGATATTGAAAGGTTCAGAGAGACAGAAACACTTAGAAAACGAGATAGAGAAAGCCAACAATAGAGACTGGGAAAGGGGAGGTAGAAATACAGTGCATAGGAGATGAATAAAGAACATTTTCAAGTTTTTTCTTGAGCTGCTCAGTGTGGAGGACTGTAATTATGAGCTTAGGTTTGAGCAGAACCAGGAACACAAGCATCAACTGTTAAAGTGGAATGGCTGGGATTACAACCAAAACCAAACCCAGACCTGGGGTTTGGTCTTTGTTGTTGGTTTTAGGTAGACCACAGTTCACATCAGAGTTCTATTAGCATTCACACCTCCACAAATAACCAGACTCTTTAGGCAAATCAACTGGAGTTGGATTAAAGCGGACTAAGCTGGATTGGTGTGAATGCAGCCTTTAAATGATAAATAACCCAAATAAGCATGTCCACCTTTCCCCTCACCCCAGCCCCCAACTTCACCAGCAGAGTGACTCAGTATGCAGAGCTGCAGCAGGGTTGTACTGCTGTGACTACAGCAGCGACAGAGACAATGAGGGAAACCTCCTTTTTTCTCCCATATTTACCTCATCAGGTTAAACCTTCAGATCCACTCAGCTTCATCCAGAACAAACAGAAGCAAATTCCACTCTGGATTAACCTTCTCAATCATTCAAACAACACATATATACATGCACGCAGAAACACATGACCCCAGCAAGACGAGTATTGTCACAATAAGCAATAACTCCATTAATCACATGATAAATTAATAATCAATAATTTCTACTGAGTTTCCCTCTTTTTCTACCAAAGACTGGATGACAAAAGTCTTCAGTCTGTTGCTTTGGTCTCTGTGAGCCCTCTTCTTGAAGCACAATTTTGTTTTTCGAGACTTCATAATTAATTTTATTTGTTCTTTTGTTTATTTATTTTGGATGTTTCAAATGTCTCCTGGTTTTAGTATTAAATGTTTATTAGAATTTAAGGTTTATTGATCTTTGAGAATATGTTCTTGCATTATTATACCATTTTTGTTTGATGACTTGAAAATGGTCTCAAAACAACAATATTATATTTGTCGTAATAACGTCAAGGACAATGTATCGCCCAGAAAAATGGGCGATATAGTGACAGGCAAAGATGAGCCTTGACAAAAAACAAACAAAAAAAAAAAAAAACAATCATCAACAGCCTCCTACCTGCAGTTTGGTGGCGGGTCCAGAGTAATCTCTGCCAACTCCTTCTGGATCCTGAAATGAGACGAGGATCTGGGTTATGATCACACTACAAACAAACAAACACACCCCACCCACCCACCCAGACACACACACACACACACACACACACACACACACACACACCCACACACACACCCACACACACACACAAAAAGGCTGTCTGTGAAATCAAGTTGGAAGTGAGCACAATAAACATTTCATCGATTTTCCAACGAGCTTCTGAGCACAGGAATAAGTCATGTCATGCAAGATCAACACAGGCGTGCACAGCTGTGCGTTAATCACCTTCTAAAGCATGTGTACAGTAACTGATCCTGGTGTCATAACTCTGAAACAATACTGATGATCACAGCCATGTCTGTACTGCATGAACACATGAAGAAAGTTTAACGGATGCACTGATTAGGTTTTCATTACATGCCAGTGATTTGTCTGCATGCATGGAGAGGAAAGGAGCTATTCTACAATCACTCCATCAGTTAGAACAGCTACTCCTCTCTCCTGTAAAACAGTCAATTCCAAAATTACTAATTCAAAAGCACTTCATTCATTTTATCCAAGTTTCTTCTAAGAATTTTTTAAGACGGCAGAAAGAATTTTCTTAATCTTCGCTGAAGGTTAAGAAGCTTCTAACTAAGTAGCCTTCAGATTCCATGCACCAAACTTCTAGAAAACTGCAAACCTGTTGAAATGTTGAGTTCTTTTAAATCAAAGCTAACAAACCACCTATTGAACAGTCTTTGTCTTATAATAAATGGAGCACTAATCAATATATTTGAAGTGTATTAATGATTAAGACGATGACATTTGACAAAATGTAACGTTTATTGTTGCTTCACAAATGGTGACAATTTTTGAATCAGAGTGAGGAAGAGAAACACATCAACGCACGTCAAGCACAATAAAAAAAGCTGTATCAGTTTTCTTTTTTGTTGAAAACGGCTGCACATTATAAACAGCACACAAGCAGGTCAACATTCTCAGAAACAAGAGGAATTTCAGACCAACCAAACTAACAAAGCAGTTAATCAGAGAGAAGGGAAGAGCAGACTTTAACCTTGACTATGATGCAGTTTGATGTTCTTTTATTCATGCTGTGAAAACTTAACAGCTTCACACACACTCAGTCAAAGTTCTTCACTGAAGCAGTTTTAGACTTTCTTTTTTACACATTAAACCAAGGAACAACCAAATTCAGGAGAAATTTGAATTTGTTTTGACCCTGAAGGGAAATATAATTGTCGCCACGTAAATAAAACACACACAAGAAATGTGCCATTCATATGGCAGCAATTTGAAATCTGGTGCAGATGGTTTGTATGAAGTTTTAATTGACAATCAGAATAGGAATAAAATGAGAATTTAAGTGACTTTCAACACAGCATCGTTGTTAGTGCCAGACAGGACGGTCTGAGAATTTCAGCACCTACTGATCTTCTGGGATTTTAACCCACAACCATCTCTCAAGTTTACAAAGAGTGGTCTGAAAAAGAGAGGATACTCTGTGAGCACTAGCTGTGTGAATAAAAATGGGATGCAAATGTCAGGAGAAAGGGTTGTCCAATATCCACTGGTTCCAACCAACAGCTGCAGAACACCATCTGTGAACACGCAACATGTAGAACCTTGAAACAGCAGCAGAAAAACCTCACCAGGTACCAGTCCTGTCAGCTCAGAACAGGAAGCTGAGACTAGAATTAACAAAAAACTTAATAAGTAAATGAAAAAGAGAAGTAATGGGAACAAAGAGGTCAGCTACAGTCTCATAAACATGTAATATAGACCAGAGAAGTCACAGCAAATAAAGATGAAAACTAGACATATTTGAAAGCAGTGTGCAATACTATCTCCACAGCTGGTGTGAATACCAACGCATTTCAGCTCTATTTTCTGATCATTTACACAACAGAAACAAAGGGATCATTTGGGAAACAGTGTGCCAAAAAGGCGAAAGTGAGATCCTCCAGCTTTAACACAACCTCCTTAAACAAACACCATCTTTTTCTGATGTTCTACATGATAGTCTTGGCAAACAGCACACACTCTACAGCACTGCAATCTGCAGGTCTCTGCGTGCAGACCCTTTATAACGTGAAAGACAAGCTGCTGTGAGTGGATGCAGCAATTGACGATTTATTACTGCCAGCGGCTCCAAAATGCAAATAAATATTACTGAGATGGTTAACCTTCCAAAAAAGCAGGAACCTTCCAGGTTCTCTTTTTATTATGCAGCCATTACTGGTGATAAGGAGGATTTACCGCCTGCTGCTGGAGACGCTATGACAGCATCTGGGCTTTTACACCTTTTTGTCAATGGAAACAGTTTGGCAAAGAACAGATCAGAGAAAAATGAGTTACGGCCCAAGGTTACTCCTTTGGGGTTTAGCATCCTTGCTCCAGATCTTCTCATTGGTGCTGATTGGAAGTGGAGGCAGCTGGCCAGTGTCTCCATGAATGACATCAGATCAGCTTAAAATGCATCACCTTTTTCTCATCAACCCAGCCCTTTTCTTTCTGTCTGTCAACTTCTCCTCTTTTTTCCCTTTCCTCTCCAACCAGCTATGATTTTTGTTAAATAAACCCTATTTTAAGTTATCCCACGTGTTGCTTCCCTTTAATTTGTTATGGTATTAGAGAAAGATTAGGTTTAATCACAGCTGATGTCATTATTAGAATATTCAGCTTAAACACGACCCATGTTCCAAGCATAATGCTGCCACCGCCACCGCTTCAGTTCAACTTTGGTTTTGTCACATTCCACAGTTTGCTGTGGCTTGTGGCAAACTGCAAATGAACTTTACACACTCCAAGGAAGGCCAGATTTGTGGTATGATCAGTTGTTGTACTACCCCCCGCCCCTCCCCGGGTGAGTTACTGTTCCTGTTGATAACATTTGGTTCCTCACTCCATTTCTGTTGGCCTTCGCCTCTCTGAACACAAAGACAATCATTTCCATGAACGTGTAATGAGCCTAATGGTCCCTCTGAGACTTGCATTTCCAGCAGCACGCTCTTCTTTATCTTGACGCAGCTCCTGTGTGTTAAAAAAAGCACACTAGATGGTTGCAGCTGGGTCACCTACGCAAGACATCTGACCTTCCGGCTCACCACAAGATGGAAGTTCTACTTCCAAATCTGAGAACGATGCTGTCACAAAGTGCAGTCAATCGCTGTGTTTCAAAAAAGGCTGGCAAATGGCACCGAGCTGAAAGTGCAGATATAAATTCCTTCTGAGTTAGGAATCCCAGAGGTACCTTGAAGTCAGTTGTGCTGCTCAAAGTGGCAGCATGTTGTCTGTTGCATTAATTCTGAGTTGTTTTTTTAAATATAACTCCTGCATTTATGACTCAATGAGACATTTTTACAACCCACTTCTCTCTCTACCACAGATCCAAAGTATCCATAGCTTCTCAGTTGCTCTACTAGAGAAAATAAAATGTTGAATTTCTTTCACCAAAATGTCAAGGACTCATACATCACCAAGACAAATCCTGCTCTTGGCCAATCAGATCACAATCTTGTTTAATATGAAGTTGTTCAAAGGCAACTTGTGACAAAAAGAACTGAACAGATAGTAACGGAAGCTGAAGAAGTCCTTCAGGGTTCTTTTGGGTGTCCAGACTGGGCTGCTCTGTTCCAGCCACATGGAGAGGACATCAATGTCCAGACTGAGTGAGAAACTGACTGTACAGCTTCTGTATGGGAAATACCAGCCCGTCTAAAACACTGTGATGCTTCCTCAACAACAACACCTGATACACCAGTGACCTGGAGGACCTACTGAAAAAGAAAAAGAGCCTAAAGTAATGGAGACAGAATTCCTCAGGAGTAGGTGTGCAGAGAATAACTGAAGAGCAAGTAACAGCAGAGTAATATCAAAAATCAGGGTGAAGAAGATTATTTGCTTAGAGCAGCAGAAGGATCAGATTCAAGGTCAGAACAGAGACAGTTCAGGAAAGGTCTGCCTTGTTCCTGTACCAAAGGAAAACCTATCCATCATCAGTCCAATGAGTAAGTGCTTACAGCTGTGGATCTAGAGACATCAACTGTAACAAACCCTCAAACTCCACAAGAAGAGAAAGGTCTCAACAATCGCCAGGATCAATGATTACCCAGGTGATCAGAAGCACAGGAGCACCACAGGGCACTGTGCTCTGACTATTCATTTTTACTCTGTACATCATAGACAAGCACAAGTCGGATTGGCCGGCCCAATTAGAACCACAGCTCTCAGGTTTCCAGGGAGCGGGGTGGGATTGGGCTGGAGGTGCTGGTGCCAAAATGGCAGCCATGCAGGCCGGGTCAGCCCAAGTTGCAGTCCTAAAGAGGCTGTTGATTCGCTCTTTATTTTGATGATGGTGCTTTGAGTAGATCTTTACAGCCAACACCAAAAGCCACAGCTGCTGTCTGCGAATAGAACCCAGTGTGGAAAATGATAACATGTCTTTGAGCAGCTCCCAATCAACACACAGGCACACGGGCTCTGCCTTGTGTCCTGTTTATTGCCTGGTCACATAACAGCAGCTGCTGCTCTGTGTCATCACAGAGAAATGCTTCCAATCTCCCATGAAGTCATCTAAAGAGGCAGTTCTTTGTTACATAAGGAAAACAGGGCACATTGGCTGAGCTAACAGGGTCAACCTTTTTTTCCCTCTCTCTGGGTTGTGTGGTGAAGATTCTCCAGTAATCTTTCAGATCTAACAAGTTGTGTGGGATACAGAGAGGTAAGAAAAGCATCGGAGGCTTAAGGTAAATGTGCATGGATCATTTTTCTATCCCTCTCACAGCGTGTTTAGGGCTGGGACTGCTCCCAAATCCAAAATGCAGCAGAACAAGCCTCCAGATAGAGTGAAATAGGTCAGATAAGTCTGAGGTCGGAGAAAAGTTTATGTAGCCATATTTGACGCAATAAATGTGCAGCCCACTTTCAGATTCTTATTTGCCATTAAAGTTTGTGGCAGCAACAGCACAAAATATGGAAAACCTTAAGGGGTGTGATTAATTTTGCAGTAAACCGTACGTCAAAAGATGAGGTTTCCACTCCCAGGCTGTATCTGAAATGTCCTCTGAATTGCTCTGCAATTTAAAGCTCTGTGAAGATTTGACAGATAACTCGGCTGATGTTTCACAATCTTTTCTTTTCAATCAGCCTCTTATCGACTCTCTCCCCGTTGGAACGCCAGCAGCTTGGATAGCACTCCCCTTCTGTTCAGGCAGCATCCTGAAAACCCCTAAAGGCTCTTTCAGATGAAGTCTCCAGGCGTTTTTCAGCGGCGACTTGGAGAAAAGTGCACAAGTGGGTGACAGCTGACCGGCGCAGAGGCAGAACGCAACCGCCGGGGAAGAGCCGGCCCGCAGCCAGCAGAGGACACAAAGCACAGCGGAGAGCGGCGGATCTACCTCTTGGCGCTGGTGGAGAGCTTGGCAGCAGTTTTGCTGGAGATTTTGGCCTCCTTCTTCTTGGGCTGAGACTGGTCCCGCTGCTCGGGGCCGGCCTGCTCCGGAGGGGCCGCCTCCCTCTGCTCGGCGTCGGAGCTCCCACCGCTGGTGTTGGGGCTGTCGTCCGGCCTCGGCTGCACCTCGCTGGACATGCTGACTCTGTGGAGCACACACATCGAATTTAACACACAATGACAAGGAAACATAACAGATCTGTGAACATTTAAAGACTGACGCTGAAAACAAAACACACAACTTTCTAGGTCCAGAGTCCCTCAACTCCGAAAATATAGGCTGCAATAATTGGGGAAGGGGGAGGCACCGCTGTCCTTGCCTTGCTTTGACACCCACGGAGGACCATTATGTCTCTCTCTCCCGCCTCATTTCCTGTTATTTGTTCAGAGTCAACCATCAGGAAAAGCACCATGATGCAGCTCTCAGATTGTTCTCCAGCACCGCTCACTGATCCGTCGTCCCTCAGTGATCAGAACCATCCAGCAGGATGGATGGAGCAGTTTGGAATCAGCAGAAAGTATCAGGACTTTAGGACTATTCTGATCACGGCACATCAAAGGAAAGCTGGATGATTCCAGAATGACTGACTGATCTATAATTAGATCATATTGATTTTGCAGATATTTAATCAAACAGGTTTAAGATTTTACTGTAGCTATAGAATCCAATAAACTCATTCAATAGTACTTAACATAAATTTCAGATCTCACATTGTGTTTTCTCTAAGCAGCCTTTAATTGTAATTAGGGCTGCAAAGAACGTTGTTTATTATTATTATTGTTATTATGACAACTAATTGGATAAAAACAATTGGCTCATTCTGCAGATTTTGCATTTATTCATTTAAGCTTATTTTAAGCAAAATTAGAAATGCATAAGAAAATCCAAAAGGTAAACTTGAAGACATTAACAATAACAGCATTTCTTAGAGAACACTTGATCATTTGTAGCAAAGGATAAAACAATCCTAACATCGAGATGTGAAAAACCCAGGCCTTTCTGCTGGATGATTCCTATTTTGATTCATTTATTAATAGTTGGACAGCAAAAGACGGTCAACAGAAGATTTCCTTGACAGAATTTGAAAGAGGTGAAGCTGAAACTATCATTAGAAGAGTTCTAGTACAACAGAGTAACAGGTTATTTTCTCCCCTTCTTAAAAGCAAATTGTAGATCGATTTAACACGGTTTTGGATTTGCTCTGACTGTGTTGTTCCTTTAGCAAACAGTCTTTATCTGAGTCTATATGCTCCAGTTAACAACAATCGATAACAAAATTAGTTGATTATTTTAGTAATTCATTAATCATTTCAGCCCTAATTGCGATTATCCAAAACAGTAGAAATAAACCCTGTAACTACTCATTCTGTCTCTCTGCTCTTATTTAAACGTTATTCCAGCTGATTCCCAATAGAACTTCTGCTGTTAATTTCACCTCCAATACAGTCATATGACAACTATTAGTTACTGAGTTTATTATGGTCGTTCGTGAGCTAAAGCCTTTCCGGTCCTGCTTGAGATTCTCAGCTGAATTGCAATCTGAACTTTGACTAGGCCATTCTAACACACTAACAAAAGTGAAATGAGATTTGCCTTTCCTAGCTGAAAGACTTTCCAGATTTTTATTTTTCTTTTCAGTCTAATTCTCTACTAGCTGATGACAGCATTTAGCCAGAAGTTGGCTTTAAAGGGACTTTTTTCCGAGGCTTTAGGAGAGAGCAGGACTGTTTTCAGTGTGGCTTCAACCTCACCTGGCATCTTTTTAATAATCATTGACCTACTAACTTCTGCCACTTTTTCATTCAACAATACATGTTTTAAAACCCAATCGAAAGAAGCTGAATTGGAGCCAAAACTATGAATATTGTCATTCAGGTGCGCAGAGCTAGTCAAGCTGAAACTCTAGTATGTAAAACACGTACAAGGTGACATTCACTAAATTCAATGAGCCCATCTAATAGTAAGTCAAGGTGAATGCCTCTATTTACATTCCCAGATCATGTGTGATAAATGTAGGAGGCAGTCAGGTGGAGGAGAGGAGAGGTTCTGCCAACTCTGGTGCTGCCTAAAATAATTGACCCGCATGGACAGAGCCTCCAACCTGACCTCTGCCAAGCAGCCACACCAACCTTAGCTGCAGTAGGCTGAGGGGGATTAAAGTGACTAAGCTGAATTTTTTCATCTGAAACTTTTTCTTCTTTGACACCACCTTCTCGAGGAAGGATGTTCAAGCTGAGGTCTAAGCCACACTGAAAACAGTCCTGATCTTTCCTAACGTGTCGGAAAAAAGTCCCTGTAAAGCCAACTTCTAGCTAAATGCTGTCACCAGCTAGCAGTTGTTTAATGTAGCTCCGTGCCAGAACCAGTGAAGCTTGAACGCTGCTCGGTGCGGTAAATTCAATTGTGATTGAAATGGTTGACTCTGAAAAGAAGCTAGCCGCGTCTCAACAGCGCAGTTTAAGTGCAGAATGTTTAAAATGCACCACATTGTTCCGTTGAATCGTCTGGTGTAGTTACAGCAAACAGGTCGCATGGTGGTGGGGTACGAGCCCCACGAGCTCCTGCCGCCCCGAGTCCTCTGCTTTTGTTAGCCGCAGATCAAGAGTTGGCCGCGAGGCAGCCGCGCAATTACATTTCAAAGGATTAAGTTCCAGAATGCACGCGTACAATAAGTGAGCACCTCCAGAAGCGGGGCTCGCGCTGACCTCTGCCAGATAGATGCCCCAACACAAAAGACCCCCCTCCCGGCCCCCTCCCCACTACCTCATCCCACCCCACCCTCGGTGTTCTCCACAACGACAACCGCCAACACCGCCGCCGCCGCCCCCTTCCACAATAATACACCCCCAATATTCTGAAGAGAGGGATCGTGTCCGCGAGGAAACAAAGTCCTCACCTTTTCAATCAGGCTGGAAGCACAGCGGCCGTGAAAACGGTTCCCAGTGCCGTAAATCCAAAACACTCGCCGTCCGCTGCTCCGCGTCACTTTGCTTTGACTGACTGCTGCTGGAGAATGTGCCAAAATGCGTCTGTTATGGCGGAGAGCATGAGAGAGAAGGGTTCCTCTTTGACCCACTAAAATAAAAGCCCGGGTTTCCTTCCGCTTTGTTGTTTTTTCCTCTCTATTATTAGGTTCAGCATCTGATAGGAATAGGTACAAACAATAATTATAGAGCTCAATCAATCAGCTTAAGTATTAAATATAGATTTTCTAATGTACCCGTTTTCTTTTTTTCCAGGGACAGCCCAAGGTTGCATTAAGATTAGGCCCTAGGCTGAATTTCATTTGCATGTTTTGGTAATTGAAAGTGGATGTTGGCCCGTTTCCATGACCCTAGAGATGCTCCTCATCCTGCAGCCTTTGTTTGTTGTGGCTGAAAGAGGTGCTTTTTCCTTTTAATAGTGTTAGTGTTTGTTGGCTGAAGTGGACCTATGTTTCTTGCAGATGATGTGATTCTGTTGGCTTCATTAGATGGAGTGATTCACACTTGACTGCAAGTGGACAGGATGAAAATCAGTTCCTCCAAATCCACGACTGCAGTCTTGAGCTGGAAAAGGATAGGACACCTTCTCTGTGTGCCTTAAGTGAAAGAGCTTAAATATCTTAGGGTCTTGTTAACAAATTAGGGGAAAATGGAGCAGAAGGGCAATAGACAGATTGGGCAAAAGACAGTAAACTGTGGCAAACCCTCTGAGCAAAAAGGCAAACCTCACAATTTAAAAGTCTATCTATATTCCTACCCTCAACTATGGTCACCAGCTCTGGAAAGTGACTGTAGGAACAAGATCGCAGATACAAGTGTCTATTTCGGCTGCAGGGTATCTGGGTTTTCTGATGGAGATGGGGCAAGAAGCTCAGTTATCGGGAAGGAATCTGAGTTTAGTTGTAACAACTATTCTGGCTTTGTTGTGTTTGTCCTCTTTTTCTCATTATCAATGAAGCACTAAATAAAACTTACTTGCTTATTGTATTTTAAGAGATATGTCTCATAAACATATTTCTTGGTAGGATTAAAATAGTTTGTGTCTAATATGTGTACTAAATACGTTTCATTGTCGTTTAGTTTTTTTATTTTCAGCGGAAAACAATGAACACTTCCGGTCTTTTTGACAGAAAAACTTGACAAACAGAGCGATTCCCCGCGAGCACGCGCGCGTGCCTAGATGTGATGTAGCAGGCTGTAATGTTTTTGCAGACTACAAAGAAAGAGGAAACCCACTGGGCTCTAAGACAATCTCAGCCTAATTAAATATTCTTGCAGCATACCGCATGTACCGACTGGTGTTTATTAATGTCTTCGAACTCTAGATTCACTAAAACACAGCAGCAGAAAAGAACAATAACTCTTAAGTGTTCAGAATAAAAAATAAACTGACAGTAAATTGAACATAGAAAAATCTTTCGTGTTTTCACTAATATAGCGTAATTGTGACATTGTCGTTTTTTTGTTTTTTTTTTTGTTTTTTTTCCATTAGTAGTAGTAGTATTTATGTTGACTACGTCATTACAGCGGAACTCTCCGTCGGTCCGTGTTTCTCACACAACGATAAAAGCGACGGAAGGCAGTTCCGTAACATGCGCCATTGAAAACAAACGCAGCGGCTACGGTGGCTCGCGCTTTCTGCTAACTCGGAGCTCCCTGACCCAGCTTTTAATAGACACAGTGTGTGTTTGCGAACCATGGAGACGATTTTAGAACAGCAGCGTCGTTACCACGAAGAGGAAGAGCGACTGATGGACGCCCAAACTAAAGAAATGTTGCACAAAAAGTCCACGGTAAGCTCTGGCGCTACAAGCGAGCTTTAGCATGAGGCTAATCCTTACTTGTTAGAAACCAGAACAACACTCAGAGTAAGTAAATGTTTTCCTTATTGTTTCAGCTTCGAGAACAAATTAATTCCGATCATCGCATAAGAGCTATGCTGGATGTAAGTATAAAGTTCGTTTTGGATGGATGGACGACCCATATGAGTCTATCTTGATTGTCTAGTGGAACGGAAAAGTTCTGATTTTAAGTTAGTGTACACTCAGAGAAACTGAGTGCGACATTTTAATGGATAAATAGAGTGAATCTGTGTAAAGAGTCTAAATGTGCAATGTCGAGCTTTCATAATGTCTTTACTTCGCTCTGACATGTTGTACAACAGCTTCTGCCTCACATCTTAACTGATGGTTCAGTTCAAATTCAGAAATGCTTAATTCATTACAAAACAAAATGAAACATTGTAACTCTGATGTAACGCAGGTCATCATGGTTTGGATTTGAGGACTTCTGTTCTACAGGGACATGTTCTGGATGTTGGCAGCTCTGCTATTCCATCCCATATGCTTTTGCTGCTCCTGTTTAAATCTGTATAATCAGAAAGCTGTGCAGAGAAACCAGGAAGTACTTAATTGATGTTGGGTCTTGAAATTGTGACACTTATCACTTTTGCCTCATGACATCCACTGTGAGGAAAAATACACAAAAATCCTCATCAAGTTGTCTCTGGGTTGTTCGCTGAAGCTGCTCTTCACTGATAACAGTGATCATGGAGAGTGCTCTGAGTAAACCCAGTTATGAAGGCCATCTAGCTGATAGCCGTCTATCTGATTCTGGTTGCTTTTGGAGCCTGTGGTTCTCCACTGGAACAGATGTTTCTAGGGTGAATGATGCCCAGGGTTTTCCTCCTGGATCTGCTGCAGTTCTACTTATCTGTTCTACTTATCTACTTACTGTGAGGGTTCATTCCCACCATCTCCGTTTAATTTGCTTTAACTGAACTCCAGTTCGCCTGCCTAGAATGGCGGGTTGGTTTGGGGAGGTGTGAATCCATTATAGGAGCCTGACTGCTGTATGTCTCCTGACAGAGGTACATGGACGTGAGCGCAAACCTGAGAGACTCCTACGAAGACAAAGACGGGTACGTTTACTTTAAATCTTTTTAGCAATATGTTTATAGTTGAAGTTTTTTCTTTTGATGACATAAAAAAACTGAAAGGAATAAAAATTTATTTGAGGGATTTGTCACATTTAGCCTTTTTAGCTTGTTAGATTTACACTAATATACATATTTTTACTACTTTATTTGTTTGATTAAAGTACTGTGGCTTAGTTTATTGCTGACAAGGAAAATAAGCACATATTTGGTTCATGAGTTTTGATTGCATGGCTTTGGAATATGCAACCAAATGTTTGGACTCCCCTGAGCTGGAGGATGATCTAGAGGAGGAAAAACAGACCTGATTCCACACAGCTGGTTTTGCTATCGGACGTTTGAAACCTTTTTGTTTGGCAGGATGAGGAGAGACGAGCTCACCGCCATTTCTGGACCAAACGAGTTTGCTGAGTTCTACAACAGACTGAAACACATAAAGGAGTTCCACCGAAAGCATCCAAACGAGGTAGGAGAGCTGCCGCCACGCCGTCGGGTCACGTTGTGTCAACAGCAACAGTAACAGGGAGTCTCTGGGCTACTTTGCATCTTCCTTCCTCTGTAGATTTCCATTCCCATGTCAGCAGAGTTTGAAGAGCTGATGAAGGCCAGAGACAACCCCAGTGAAGAGGCTCAGAGTAAGACTCATTATTTAGGTTTTCTGAACTGAATAATCAGGGAACTCTACAAGGCTGGATGTTTACTGATGGTGAATTAAATAGTTAATCTTATGATTTGAGCCTTAAAGGTACACTATTATGCTTCCTTGAACAAGCTGTGGCCTATACAAAACAACATCCATTACATTTAATTAGCTGGTCTCCACTCAGGGAGACGCATGAGGCTGGAGCAGCCGATGGATTCCTGTGCTGTGTTTCTGCTGATTCTACTTGTTTAAATGAGCCATTTTAAGTCTGAGTTGTTGTTTAGCTCAGCAGCATTAGCTAGTAAACACTCAGCCTAACAGCTGCGCTCCTTCCAGACATGGTGGACTTCACTGATGAAGAAGGATACGGCCGCTATCTGGATCTCCATGACTGCTACCTGAAGTACATCAACTTGAAGGGAGCGGAGGTAACAATGCTCCGTTTCTGCCGTAATAATCAGCTTCCAGACAGAAGGAACCATGTTCTCAAACTGCTTCATGTATCCCTACAGAAACTGGACTACATCACCTACCTGTCCTCATTCGACCAACTTTTCGACATCCCCAAAGACAGGAAGAACGCAGAATACAAAAAGTAGGTCCACGATCCTGTTTGTGTTGAGTCTGACCCATTGGGCCTGAACTGCATAACCTGGGGAAACCATGTGGCGTGTGCAGGTACCTGGAAATGCTGCTGGAGTATCTGCAAGACTACACAGACCGGGTCAAGCCTCTGCTGGACCAGAACGAGCTCTACGGGAAAGTCCTGACCGACTTTGAGAAAAAGTGGGAGAACGGGACGTTTCCGGGCTGGCCTGTGAGTCCTGCCTGTGGCCCACGGAAAACACGGTGATTCACTGAAGCGTCGTAGCTCACGTTTCTCCTCCATGTTTTTGATCTGACTGCAGAAAGAGACGAGTAGTGCTCTGACCCACGCCGGAGCTCATCTGGACCTCTCTGCGTTCTCCTCCTGGGAGGTAAAATCAAACTTTAACCAGAAGGGCTGCTGTTGGCGAACTGAATTCACGGCTCTGCTTCATCCTGCAGGAGCTGGCCTCTCTGGGTCTGGACAGGCTGAAGTCTGCTCTCATGGCTTTGGGGCTGAAGTGTGGAGGGTAAGAAGGAGCGGAAGCTCGGATTAATTTCACTTTTCTGCACTTTGTCCCTTTACAACTTCAATATTTTTTTCCTTGTCTGATTAATCAGTTTGCACGTACACCATAAAATGTAAAATCAAGGGCTTAAAATGTTAGTAGTGGCTTTAACCACAGTAATCACAAATTTTATATTTTCTTGTGGCAACACTATTTCATCTTGTACCTGTAGGGTTTTTTTTTATAATGGGACAGTTAGAGTCATGCCTGACATCTTTAGTAAGTTTTGGCTCGAGGAGTTTAAGGCTAACAGTAACCAACTGCTAATATACTCTTGCTAGCTAGCCAGTTAGCTTTTTGTGTCTAATTTGGGTAAGTGCAAATTTATGAAAATAACCTGGTTGCAGAAAATAAGTGGCATCCAGTCAGGCATGTTGCACCCTGGAACTGAAGGGGGTGCCATTTTCTATTTTGTTACAACTGAAAGGTTTCTCAAGATAATTCTCCCAAATGTATTTCCTTAAAGGGTTTAAATTTGACTGGCAGAACCTTTCGATGTGCTACACATAAATAGTTTCACTGGATTTTATTCTGAAGCACCAGAGTACAGATGCACAGCATACTTGTCAGATTTAAATTCTTACAGAATCTTGAACGTGATCCCTGCTTTTCCTCACTATCACCGTGTGTGTGTGCGTGGTGTGTGTGTGTGTTGGTTGGGGTGTGTGTGTGTGTGTGTGTGTGTGTGTGTGTGTGTGTGTGTGTGCATGCGCGCGCGTGCGTGCGTGTGATCAGGACTCTGGAGGAGAGAGCTCAGAGGCTGTTCAGCACCAAAGGCAAATCCCTGGAATCACTGGACCCGTCTCTGTTCGCCAAGAACCCCAAAGCCAAAGGGCCTAAGAAGTATGTGAGCGTATTAAAATGACTGTTAATCCTGTTGTGTGATGGGGCAGAATGTAACCGTCTCCATGCGTCACCACCTCAGAGACACGGAGCGGAACAGGGAAACGGCCTTCCTGGAAGCTCAGGTCTACGAGTATGTGGAGACCCTGGGGGTGAGTCTTCCTCATCAGCTTCAGGACCGGCTTTGGGCCGTCAGGCTGTCCCAATTGGGACAGCCTGACCTGCTGGGGTCTGTGGGTTCTTATGCAGGAGCAGAGGCAGCTCACCCATGAGAACGTGCAGCGGAAGCAGGCGAGGACAGGAGAGGAGCGCGAAGAGGAAGAGGAAGAGCAGCTGAGCGAGAGTGAGAGTGAAGATGAAGACAACGAGATCATATACAACCCCAAAAACCTGCCGCTGGGCTGGGATGGCAAGGTGAGGCCCAAACACACTGAGTCAGACCACTTCAGGACCCTGTAATGGTTCAGCATGGCCTGCATTTCACAATAATAAGCTCATACAGTATATAATGGAGTTACATGCTAGAATAATGCATTTCAACTTTAATGCAATTCAAATTTCTTAACATGATAAAAATATAAACATGCATTACATTTTGTAATGAACAAAAAAACGTTTCTTCACAGGATCAAAATAAAGAAGTAACAGACTATAAAGAATCAGACTAGATTTAAGTGATGTTGCTATGTCTCTGATTTAAAGGAACTCAGTGTTTCAGCTGCTATCTGGAAGTTTGTTCCAGATTTACGGTACATAGAAGCTGAATGCTGCTTCTTTATGTCTGTGTTGTTGGGATAGGAAGATGCTTTATTTTCAGATTTCTAGTTGTAAGAATATTAGAAAGCAGAGTGGTTTTCCTTCCACATCAGTTATTTGCTGCTTTTTTCTCATGCAGCATGTCTAAATGTAAACTAGTTTAAGGGTTTTACATGTGTTTTGTGGCCCAGACTGAAGTTGGTGTGGTTTTTTATTTATTTTTTTCCCTGCAGCCGATCCCTTACTGGCTCTACAAACTGCACGGCCTGAACATCAACTACAACTGTGAGATCTGTGGAAACTACACCTACAGAGGACCCAAGGCCTTCCAGAGGCACTTTGCAGTAGGGGCTTCCTTCAGTGAAAATAACTTTTATAAATTATTACAATAAGATCAAGGTTTTATTTATTTATGTTTTTGCCTGTGTAGGAGTGGCGACATGCACATGGAATGCGCTGTCTAGGAATCCCCAACACGGCTCATTTTGCCAACGTCACACAGATAGAGGACGCCGTCTCTCTCCTGTGTTGTTTTTCTGTCTCGTGTCCGTCCTGTTAACCGGTGATGTGTTTGTGTTCAGTGTGGGCGAAGCTAAAGTCCCAGAAGGCGTTGGAGCGGTGGCAGCCGGACACAGAGGTAAGCACAAAGCCTCCTGGACAGAATGTGATGGAGTCTGACTTCTTCACTCATCTCCTCCGTTGTGTCCCCCTCAGGAGGAGTACGAGGACTCCATTGGAAATGTGGTCAACAAGAAGACGTACGAGGATCTGAAGAGACAGGGTCTGCTGTAGAAGGACAGCGTGACTCTGAGCTGCTTCTTTTTTTTAAAAGTCATATTTACTCTTGTTTTATGTCTTAAGTAGTGCTGTTATTTTCCAGATAACTTTTCTCCAGTTTGTAACATGTCAACCTCTGATGATTTCAATAAACCGAGGACTTTGAGTCCCTGTCATTCCTAAATCTTGTTCTGTCTTGGCAGCCTGATTATCCCCAGGATTCTGATTGTGTCTCAATCAGAATCCTGATTCTGATTGAGACAGAATCAGGATTCTGTCTCAGAATCCTGTTGAGTGAGAGTAACAGTTTACTGTTTTTTCACTAGTGTCTAAGATAAACATCACAACAGCTTTTAATGTTTCATTGTCTGTAAATCAACAATGTCTCTGAAGACATTAACGCAACCAAAGGAGCAAAACGTTACTCTGCAGGTGTTTCCATGTGGCCTCCACAAAGTGGGGCTCTTGCATTCCTGTTACTGCAGACAATAGAAACTTATGTGATGCAGTTGTACAGTTTAAGGCAGGAGTTTACATACATGACTTTTACTGTCTGAAGTTAAATCAGGTCAGTTGAATTAGTTCAGTTAGACTTATCAGAATTATTTCTATTAGCACAAATCAAAGAGAAAGATATAATTAATTTAGAAATGTCTTCAAGATCAGAGGTTTGCATATGGAATGATTACGGTCTCTAAGTGGCGAGAGAAAGCCCAGATGATGATGATAATGTCATGGTTTTGGAAAGCTGATACTTGAAGGATACATCGGAATTAATAGGAGGCACACCTATGGAAGTATTTTGAAGGTCTCACCTGGAACTCATTTCCTTCTGGTTTGATATGAGGGAAGTTAGCAGATATCAGCCCAGATACGAGGAAGAGAAACAGGAGCTGATCCTGTCTGGTTCTTCCTTTGGTGTAACCTCCAGATGTTTGACAGCATCATGTACATCTGTTCAATTGACATGATAAGGATGTCTAACCGTCATGGCGCTTAGGAAGGAGACGGGTTCTGTTCTGAAATGTCCAGAACAAAAGCCAAAGACCTTATGAAGACGCTGGTGAAACTAGTTAGATTCACTGTGCTTGAGGAGGAAGCCACTAGTTCCTCCTGTTAGTGTCCATACCAGACTAAATGTGTCATTCTACAATAATGGAATGAGCCAGTGATTGTTACCAGAACAGAGGCTTCCCTATTTTCAAGAGCAGAGAACGTTTACTCATAGCATCTACCTTTGGTGTTAGGTACAGTAGCTTAGAATTTGGCTTATAATCTATTCTTCCCCCAACCTACTTTACCTTTTCTGTATGTCCCTCTTTGCCTGTCCTCTATTTCTACATTGTCTCCTCTGACAGAAACAATAGCAGTCCTTCTGAGTAGCTTATAGTGAGGATGGATAATAACTGCATGAAGTGAAGTTCAATATTTTCTGACAGACACCTCACTCACTTTGCATCCAAAGAAGTAAGGCAGATTCAGATACTTGGAGAACTATTAGTGAAGCAGCTGGTGCTCATGTAGCAGACTGATCAGGGAGCGCTGTGCATTGCCATGGTGCATAGCCTTTGAGGTGCAGCCAGAAATGTAAGGAACGTTAAGATGAGCTTTGAGTGTGTGATGGTAGCCAACCTCAGCCATGTACTAAAAGAGACAGAGCTGAGGAGGTGTGTGTGTGATCTCTGACAGAGTGACTCTGGTTCTGTCTGGAAGAACGGCTTGAAACCAAAACATTCGTATATGTGAAGACACGTTACAGTTCTACTGAACCCAGAGGACATGGATCGAAACTTCAGGCTTTGAAGAAACTTTATTCTGACATTTAGCAAACAGGAAAAATGTTGATAATCCTAACTGAGGTGAAACAGAAAAGATTGACCTGATTTAATGCTAGAGAATGAGAAATAAAAGTTAAGTCATTTCATACAGTGTATGTAAGTATCTGTTTTCAATCAGCTGTGTTGTGTGGTAATGCGTGATGAGTAAACTAAGCAAAGTTTCATGGTTCTTTAAATGCGTCGCCGTGTTTAGGGTTGATCTCTGTCAGTTGGAAGAAGGAAGGAACTGACCGGGTAAGCAGTCCAGCGTACCTCTCAATCTCAAACTGTGGCTTTCTGTTCAATTGACATGAAAGCCACAGTTGACTCATTCAGGTGACAATAAATACAAGCCCTCCAACAGTAAACAGACATTTTAATTGGTCATAAAGAAAGTACAAGAAATAACAGTCTTTATTTTAGTAAAATAGGGAAGGAAAAAACAGCTTCTCTTTGTAACTACTTTTTTTTAAGTTTACGAAGAAATACTGACCAGAAAATGTTGGCGAGATAAATCCCCATGGTCAACAGTCAGAAGGAGCTCATATACTGAGACTCACAGTGATCCTCAAAGCCTCCACCAGCCAGCTGAAGCCTTGTTCACATCAACCACTTGTTCTTCTCCTTGTTGAAGGTCTCGGCCCACTGACGAGTAAGCTGTAAATAATGGTCTGCTTGATTTGGTAAGTAGTCCAAATATAAACGTGCCGTTGTCTTTTTGGGTACAGCCCTTTCTATCTGAGTGCCTTCATGCCATTGGTTGAAGGAGGTGATGGTGACAATTTCTGGTCTGACAGACAGAGCCGCCTGCAGGGACGTCTCATAATAACGCCCGTTGACCCGGTTTCTGGTGTTGTGGTTGTTCCACGGGCGCACGGCGGTATCCACATAGCCTGGACCGACGCTGGGGATAAACAGCAGGTTGTTTGCATCACAGAACTCCTTGATGGCTTTCCAGTTCTGGTGGGAGGAGCCGAAGGAGAAACCATTGGAGGCAAAGTAAGTGTACATGCCATCAAAGCCGCTGGCTAGGATGTCATGCTTGTGGCGCTCCTCCACAACCAGGGCAACGAAAACGCCATCGTAAGGCGTCCCTCTGATGCTCTGTGAGCCTTTGGCTGTCAGGAGCTCCGTCCAGGATTCGGGTGGGGTAAGGTAGGAGTCATAGACATAGAACAGTGGCAGGACTTGCCCTGTGCTAGTCCTGAATCTGTAGAAGGCGCCATGGTTTCCATATCTGAGAAAAACAGAGTGAGACACATGGATTATCCTAATAATTTCATATCAAGGTTCCTTGAAGTTAATGGTAAATTTTCCAATCATTTAGACCATTCAAAGCACGTTATATTACCATTCACACTCACATTTATATACCTATACACAAGCAAGTTGAGGTTAAGTATCTTGCAGTGACCAGGGGAACATCAACATGAGGCATGAAGAAGTAGGAATTGAACCTACATCCTTTTGATCACAAGACAATCACTCCATCTACAGAGCCACAGTAACCCCATTGACAAAGTTAATACCACCACTACTATTAATAGTAGTACTACCTCTCCTACTACACAGATAATGATAATGATGTTAGTAGTAATAATAATGATGTAGCTTTTCACAAACTTCTAACACCTTCAGTAGTGCCATGGTGATATCTGTTATGTGTTTTTATACCTCTGAGGTTGAAATAAGAACCTAATGGATGATTTACTGTCGGCTCTTCTTTCCGCTTTCCTCTTGAACCTGCCCTGACTCCTCTGTAGTTCTTAGTTATGGTGAGGACACCAAACATCTAGAGTAGTCATGACGTCTTACCAGAGCCACACTTCCAAAAAACCTCAATTACGCTGTCAAGGAAATGAGGAACCATCTATATTCACCCAGCTGCTCCTCATCATCACCCCTCTTGCCTTCACCTTCAGTTCTTTAATGCAGAGCTCCACCTGTTGGAGGCAAACCCCACCCAGCACATACACATATACTGGGAAGGAGCTTACTTGTCAATAATATATTTGATGTTGTCATGCATGCTCTGGTCCGTCCGTCCCTTGTATGACTGAATGTGAAAGGCCACCTGTGCACAGAGACAGGAGGGTGGATTTTCAGTAAAAGCATCAAGTGAAAACAAAAGAACCTGGAGAAGATGGAATGTTTCAAATTTGGAAAATTATTGTCTTGGTGAAATTTTTAAAAATTGTTATCAGAGCATCTTTTAGTTAGCAAAACGCTAGCTGAAACCTGCTATACACAATGTTTTCTGTACTGATATACTGTGTTGTAATTAGTCTTTCTAACTCCAACATAAATTAATATAATGTACATTTTTGAAACAGTAATCCATCTAATTTCCTGATCATGAAACAAAAATTCCTCTAATAGCTGCACAGCATTTTTTATGTGAAAGTCATGCACAATATAGCATAATCATTATTCTGATTGTTATTATTAATCTTCTTTTCCACATATTGTTTTAGCAATTTAAGGACTATTTTGTCTGAACTAGTATATTTGATGCTCCTGAATTTCTCTTTGTGAGACAAGAAAACTATTTCTATTCTACTACGATATGAAAAACAGTAAAAAATATGCTGCCTTTGTTCATCATTTTTTAAGATCTCTGCAGAGGAAAAAATACCAGAACAAAATATATCAGAACCTTCATACTAACTGACCCCCATCCTGGGATCAGTTTACTGCAGTCACAACTGTTCTCTAATCTGAGATAATGTGCTTCTCTGTGGGGTAAAGGGTCTTTTCTGGGTCAACAGATCCATATCATCCATATTAGACCCCAAACATCTGTTCAGACATTATGATACACAGGGAACATCTGGAGTCTTCTCTGTAGACATCAGTTCATTCTTCTTTTGTTCAGCACATCTTACAACAAGAGATAAAAAAGGCAACGAGATCAAAACAAAACCTTTTCTAAAACTCCACCTCCTTGTTATTTTTGTATTCTAAATCGATGTTGATTTGAGTGTAACTAAAGCTGGAGACCAGATGTTCTGAACCACTGTTTGAAAGTCGGAGACTCTCGCTCTGAACAACTGGACCTGCTGGATCACAGCCTGCAGGACCAGCTGAAGCCAACCAAACCATACAACTCCCACAAGATCAATAGTGAGGGAACAAACACCCCAGTAGGTGGCGTTATGACAATATACAGTAAAAATGAAAGAGATGCACAATAAAAATTATATGTTTTAAGACACAAGTGAGTGTGACTCATATGGATGAAGAAATTAAGCAACTGACTGGCAAATAAAAATGGTTCTACAAAGTGGGGTTGTACATTTCTTTCTTTGCACTTCACAGCTCTAGTCTACTTTGTGTTGATTTATCACATAAAACTCTAATAAAACAC